ATAAAATGACCAGAGCAATGCCATTGTATTAATTTTTCTTGTAATGAAGTTGCATTATACTATTTACTTCTGAACGTCCTAAGGGCTATGACAATATTATTTTGAAGAAAGTGAAGTACTCTCCTCTCTGACCCTGCCTGCCTTCCTCCCCTCTCCGTACAACAATAACTACCTAACTAAATGAACCAAAGTCAAAACAAAACTACTCTCTAATTCTCCAGGCAATACTTCCTATATTTTTCCCACCAAAGTATCCCTGATGGAAGAGAAGATTGAACAAGTGCCCCTAAGGATCTGCTGCAAGTGTGAAATTGCTTTGAAGTCATCTGTTTTATTTTAAAAACTCATGTGGATTTTGCATTCTATTCTATAATATATATCTGTTTTAATCTAAAATTTAGGTGTTTCCCCCAATATCTTTGAGTTTCAGAACTCTAGGAAAATATGCTAAGTTTACAGCATGGCTTTGCACCTTCCAAGAAACACTCTTAAATTTATGAAGAAGAAAGGTAATTATAATTTTTTCCCATGGATCTTACATACTTCTTTCCTTTTGCTTACCTTTTACTTCAAGGTGGTATTTTGTTTGTTTTGTTTTTGTTTGACTGAAAGAAAATTAACTTTTTTTCTATACTAGATAGAATAGATCCTTTTTTCATTCAAAGAAGTACTTTGATTCTACTAATCTTAAAAAAAGCAATGTTAGACATAACAATACTGTTCTTCAAATAATTAATTAAATTAGCTTTTTCTTATCTATTTCAGTTCAGTTTTTTGTAAGAGACATTTTTGTGGTTGTTTTTGACAAAATGGGGATTCCATTTCACAAGTAGTCCATTATCAAATAAAATGAATTATATAATGTTAATCTAATTTTATTTTCACAGGTAGAGTATGAATATTATACATACAGTATATTATGCACAGTACTGAGGGTGGGATCCTGGACTCATATGGGGCTAAAAGGTATATTAAGGAAGAAAGACAAGTTCAACTCAAATAACAAGGAAAAACATTAACTATAAATAAGAGGTAAGTGGTTTGACCTTTCACTATATTTTGTTTCTTCCTGCAGACTAAATTCAACAATACTTTCTCCTAAGGCTTTGGGGAAAAAAAAAACATTAAAAAGAAAAGAAAAAAATATGGATTCTGAACAGTGATTTGACAAATGATAGTCAGTTTCCTTAGAGGACAAGGCAGGTGAGATTTCCAGGCAGAGGATGCAGCATAAAATTGTATACAGAGACAGGATATTATAAAGGTATAAAAACAGCTCGAGAGAATATATGTCTCAGTACAATGAAATGAAAAGTAGGAAGAAATGAAAGAGGGATGCAAGCAGGCAGAATGTGCTTAAGAACTTTTCGAGTTGTGAACTCTGAGTTTGAATTTCATAGGAAAAAGAAATAACTAGACAAAAAAAAAAAAAAAAAACTTGAGAATGGGGATTGCTACATCCCAAACAGTGGGATAGAAATCGGATTTTTGGCAACAGTCTTTTGAATACACTGTCAGGAAGAATGCACAAAAGCAGAAATAAACAAAGCACAATGGACATATTTCGCTCTTGAAATAGGGAGAAAGAACTTGGTGATGTTATAAAAGAAAAATAAAAAAGGATTTAACAAAAACGCAGGAAGAGGGAAAAAACAAATAAAACTGAATATATTCTTGTCTAAGATTGGAAGAAATTTATGACTGCCTTAAGATTATTCCCTTCTAATAAGACAATAAAAATAACCATCATATTCTTAGTAGTATAACAACTGCTTCTGTAATACTAAACATAGAAGTATAGAGACAGTTGTGTACTATTTGTATGTGTAAACTCATATAATCTTATTGTTACTTTCATTCCCTTTTTACAGATGAGGAAACGAAAATTTGGAAGCTCAAGTTTATAGAAGTAGTAAGTAGCAGGGCTAGGATTAGAAATTTGTAATATATAACTAAAAAGACTGTGCTCTAGAGTCTACCTTTATCATTAGCAATAACAGGTCAAAGTACATGATATTTTTTCATATCTCTATAGCTCTTCAAAACACCCACACATAAATGCTATATTTATAAATGTAGTCCTAAATGAGTCATTAGGCAACTTAATCACTGGTAAAATACCAAGGGTACTTACACAAACTTACATGGCTATAGTATCACCAGTAGATATTATCTTATGGGACTACCATGTATGTAGTCTAGTCCATGGTTGACCAAAACATGTGGTTCATGACTGTATGGTTATATAATTATTACAATACCTATAGCATATAAATAGATATGAGCACACACTGCTGTATTTTGAATGTGTTCTCCAAAAAACATGTAGGTGGGGCCTAATGGGAGAAGTTGAGGTCCACCATCATGAATGCATTTATGTTGATTGTAAAGGGGCATGAGGCCATAAGTTCAAGCTCTTGTTCTCTCTCAGGATGTAATGAGTTCTACCACATTATGATACAGTAAGATGGCGCTCACTATATTACATGCAGCCCCTTGATCTTGAACTTCCCAGCCTACAGAACTACAGAACTACAAGAAACAATCCTACTCTTTATAAATTACGGGTTTGCAGAGTTCCGTCATGGCAACATGAAACAGACACACACACAGACACACACACACACACACACACACACATAATTATTAGGGGTTTAGATGCTGACACAAGCTTTATTATCTATTTCACTTCAGTCATTGCAGATTTTTTGACTAAAAACATATATTTATAAAAGATATATTCATATAAAATATTTTTCATATAAGAATTAAAAATTATCATCACAAAACTGAGGATGAAACTTTTATCTGAATATATTATTGATATACTTCCTTTTAAAATTGTTTTTTTTTTTTACTTTTATTTTTTGTGCTCGAGATTGAACCCAGAGGCACATAACCACTAAACCACATCCCCCATAGCTTTTTATCTTGATACAGGATCTCACTAAGCTGATTATGTGCTTGCTAAATTGCTGAGGCTGGCATTAAAGTCATGATCCTCCTGACTATGCCTCATGAGCCATTGGGATTAGAGGTGTGAACCACCACAACTGGCCCAAAATCTTTTCAAAACTGTTTCAATGTATTAAACAGAATTTAGGAAACATAATGTGATAAAGGGCAATCAAAAAGCAATAGTGGCACCAAAATGATCTAAATTCAAAACTGGTCCTATTTGAGGCATTTTATAGTATTTAAATTACAATACAATATTAAAGCATTGTGATTATTCCACATTAGTTACATACTCAAAAGCCTTTAGTCACAGGCTTTTTTTTTTTTTTTTTTAATACCAAGGTTAAACCTAGGGGCGCTCAACCACTGAGCCACATCACCAGCTTTTTATTTTTTTATAATTCGAGACATCTCCAGCCCTTTTAAAAATATGTATATGAGAGAGAGAGAGAGAGAGAGAGAGAGAGAGAGAGAGTATGTGTGTGTGTGTGTGTGTGTGTGTGTCTTACTAAGTTGCTGAGGGCCTCGCAAAATTGGTGAGGGTGGCTTTGAACTTGGGATCCTCCTGCCTCAGCCCCCCAAGCAGCTGGGATTATAGGTTTATCAATCATACCCAACTACAAAGGCATATTTTTAAATACAAGTTTCAAGATACAGAAGTTCTTTAGAAAGCAATTGCCAGAAAGCTAGTATTATGATAGTAGAAAGTATAATTTTCAATCATATAGAGAGTTTTCTTAAAATAAAGAATACACATAGCACCATGGACTTGTACCTTGTATTCTACTGTCATCCTGCTCTGTGAAACAAAAACCAAAATACACTGGGGATATGTTCATGGTCTATTTGATCGATAAAACCAAAACAGCAAAGATTACCACAACCCATACTAAACAAACAAAATTCTAGGTTTCATGGAATCACTTTTTTTTTTCCTTCAAAGGACACAAACAGGTTTATATGGTCTGAAATAAATTTGGCAAACATACACTTTTGAGCTCTGAAAGTACTCAGAGTTATAAAATGAATAATTCCATTCTATAATACAATGCAATACAATTTCAAATATAAGATTTGAATATAAGATTATATATTTCAAATATAAGATTTATTTAAAAGGCAAAATATATAATTTCATCCTCAGAAAATGTTTCCTTGATCTAACCTCCTATTACTTTTTAATCTCTTACAGGAGTAAATAATACAAACAGACAAGGCTAATTACTTCAAATTAAAATCTTAGAAGCATTATTACTTTCCCCATTGTGTTCTTCACTGGTGCCAAGAACTGCCCTTTCTTTCCTGCTAACTGATGCCTTGCTGCCTGCAACATCAGGCAGAGACTCATTAGGCTGTCAATGAAGTTTCTGAGATGCTTACTTTACTGCTCCAGCCTTACTGTCAACTATTTTTCTCACTTGATCTAAAACATTCTACTACTGTGCCTTGCTCAGCTTATTTTCTCTTTAAAAATACAAGCCCCTTTCCATGCCTTTAACACTCTATCCCTCATATTTTAACTCCTGGCCTCTTCCATAAAAACTTCTCTAATCAAAACATTCAAAAGTACTCTCTTCCGCATTTCAACTACAAGATATTATTTTTCATGTACCCTTCTCACATTCATCCTTGTTCTATCGGTTATTCATGTGGATGTGTGTATATACATAATTATTTTTCCTCAACTTTAAGATTTTAAACACATTCAAAGAACAATGGTTCTATGATCATTTTCAAATCACTAAAAGATACCATACTACATATAACATAAAATGCCCTTCATTGCTTATCAAATTAAAGAATGAACATATTGTCTGACCATACATATGAATACTTTAATAACTTAGTACCGTTACAAAAAAAAGACAAAAACAGGCCATTAAAATGTACAACACTATCAATACATACTAACGAAAACTATCTCTTGCATTTCTTATATCAGTGAACAAAAACATTTTTATGATTAATGTTTATAAATTCTTTAATATTATCATTTAATATGTAGACCAGGAATAGTTTCAAAGCAGTTCTAAATCAATTACCTTTGCTTGCACTTTCTACATGCTCCAATTCTTCAGGAAATTTCAGGATGTCTCGGTATTTTTCCTCACAAATTTCAGCAATAAAATGCAAAAGGGTTGTTTTTTGATCTGCTGATTTAGTATCTCTAATCTGGAAGGAAACAACATAAAACATTTGAGTAATTTTTTAGTAATTTAAATGGACTTTTTAAACTGGAACAAATGAATGAGTGAATTCAATTCGTTATAACTCCCTTAAATTTTTTTAAAAACTCAGGGGCAGATTGTTAATGGGGTCTAGTGGCAAAGATGTGGAGTTTAAAACAAGCATCACATTATAAAAGCAAGAAATATGACCAACAAATGTGCCAAATTAAACCTTAATATATATTTTTTTAAATGTCTGCATCATTATGGCAAATGAACTATTCTTTTCATGAGAGAAAAGCATTCATTTAAATATTTATAGTAATAGTCTAAGTTAATGTGTGTTTATGTTAGCAGCATTCTGTTCTTTGCTTATTACAAAAATATATTCTTGAAAGCTGGATTCATTTGTGAAATTGTATTTATTTCTATCCATCATTGATGTAAATTAATGTAAGAGTAAGTACATTTTACCCTCCTTTACTTGCATGGGCCATCAGACAATAATTCTCGAGGCTGCTCTGTTCAGAATTATAAAAGGAATCTGACCACACAATTGTGATAACATGAAATATTTTCTGTATCTGCTTACATATTACATTGATTTTTCAGAGACACCAGGTTAAACATGTCAAAGTTATAAAAATAAAAAAATCTTTAAAGTATAGATATATATGTATGCATATATATATATATATATATATATATATATATATATATATATATATATATATTTGAGATTCTAGTGCCTTCTTGAATATAACTTATAGTAGACTAAGCTACAAATGAAATCAAGGATTTACTTAGATACAAAGCATAAATACAGCATAAAGTATCAAATTTTTTTCATTCTATTGGATGTTTTAATTCTATAATCCTTAGATGATGGGTTAAAGATTACTCTGTTTAAGATAAATGAATATTCTTCACAAACAGGTTTATGAAAAGACTGCAGAGGATATTTAGTTAATTATAGAGTAAATTAATCCTCATTGTTTTAGTGACTAAGAAAAAAAAATAGCGCTTAATAAATCAGGCCCATACTGAATCTATTTTGTACTACAGCTTTTAATCTCAAGGCTGCAAAAATACAAATGACCAGGGGATTCATAATATTGATAGTTCTAATGGTCTTAAATATTTCTTTTAGAATTTCTAGGATTGCCTTATCCCATGTAGGTAAAATGTTTGAAATTTGGCATTAGCACACAGATCCTCTAAGTACTTTTAAATGCTTAAAGATAGAACAACACACCTCAAGGACAAGGTATAAGAAGAAAAAACAATACAAACCTCAAGGGCAATTTGTATTTAAGTAAAGCCAGCTGCTATTGAGTACTCAATGGGGGGGCTCTCATTCCTGACAAAGGGTCTTTATCTGAGATTAGGGTGCTTATCTGTGTATAAAGTACATCATTTTCAGAATATATTGGACATTTCAAATAATAAGAAAATTAACAGTTTCTTTTTTTCTTAAAAAATTAGCTAGCCTCATAAATCCTAAAATCCTAAAAACAACAGGAGCTTAGAGAAACTCAGGTACATCTTCCTAAAGGCAGGAAAGTGATCTATGTTTTATTTGGTTGAGAATCAAACAAAAATAACTAACAAAGAACAAAATACTAAACAATACTATAAACCCACCATGTTTTTTAATGACACTAAATATACACCACATTCTGGTTGGGATGGGGTTGTGGCTCAGTGTTAGAGTGCTTGCCTAGCATGCATGAGGCACTGGGTGCCATCCCCAGCACCACCTTAAAAAAAAAAAAAAAACAGAAACTAAATAAACAAAATGAAGGTATTGTGTCCATTTACAACTAAAAATATTTTTAAAAAGACACTGTGTTTTTTAAAAAACTGCACATAACTAATATTGGAAACACGGAAACAGAAAAATGGCATTCTGCTCACGTGTCAATTTTATGGGTGATATTCTTCTATTTCTTTCTCATGGGTGTTATCATTTTACATTAAAAATTTAGCTTCTGGCATATATTTATAAAGAGTTTAATTTTCAGAAAATTTTTTAAAATATTCAATATCAGTGTCATTAACAACTTAATTTCTTATGAAATTAAGTAGAGTTAATGGTCACATTTTAAAAAGATAAATGAAGCATAACATTTTCAGTTAAGTAAATATCTTAGTATCTGATGAAATCAGAAAGGCTCATTCACAGAGAATACATGTGCTTTTTGGAATCACAATATTCCTTTCAAAGCACGGGCAAATGTGGCCAACCACCTGTCTGGTCAAGCTGAGAAGTATCTTCATTTATCTGGAAGAGAAACTGCTTAATTTGAATTGCAATTTTTACTTTTTTTTGAGAGAGAGAGAGAGAGAATTTTTTAATATTTATTTTTTTTAGTTTTCGGTAGACACAATATCTTTATTTTTTTTTAAATTTTTATGTGGTGCTGAGGATCGAACCCAGCGCCCCGCACATTCCAGGTGAGCATGCTATTGCTTGAGCCACATCCCCAGCCCAATATTTAATTTTTTTAAAAAAATTCACACAGTCCATTTTAATGTTTCAAACTGGCAGGAAATCATGACAAATAAGCTATTAAAATTAAATCTTTATGTGTATGACCCTTAAACCAAGTATTTTAAAATAAATACATAATACTAAAATATAACAGAACAGAATTTTTCCTTAGTGAAGTACATTTACTTTTTATTATCATGTCTTCTATCTCTCTTACCTAGTCTATATCATTCAGATACTAGCTATTGTCTCTCTCCAAGGCCCTATTGTGTTGTTCAATGTCAGCACAGAAGGCAACTAAAAAGATTCACTTTCATCAATTCTACTAGTTAATGACATTTACCCAATAATTTGCTCTTGCAAGTGTACTAGCTGGATATAAATATCTCTTGGGGCACAGCAAAAGTAATTCAATCTGAGTAGGTACAAAATCACTTCCAAAGTGTTTGGGATGATTTACTAGGAAATAAAATTGATTACCATTTGATACCTGATTAACTTGAAGTCATGTTAAAATTTTACATTAACATCAAATATCCAAACAGTGCTTGCCAAGGTTGCCTAAGTCTTATTGAAGACTATACAGTAAGCATTTCAAGGTTTTCTCTAGCCAGAAGCAAAATCTCTTTCTTCCTTTCACTGTTAGGCAGCCCACAAGACAGACACTTGACTAAGGGAGCAGAAAGATGAACATAATAGCCACTCCTGCTGCTTTCAGTCTGATTACAACTCTCCATCTTGTATACATTTTACAACAAGAAGCACACATACAGCAGTTTCAGAAATTAAGCATTTTTGAAAAAGCAAAAAACATTTATATTATTTTAATAAATGACTCACCCACAAATTAAAACAGTGAGAAGAGTGAGTCACTGTTTTAACTGACAAAGTGCCACCAGCTAATAAACCAAGTAGTGGTTTTCATTGTAATCATCTGACCAATAAATGTTACCCATAAAGATTAATAACTGAATTTAAATTAATTATATCTACCTGATCTTTAATAACTTTCTGCAATGGTACATGAATACAAAATACCTTTAATACAACAATACCTATTTCTAAAACTAATTCTGATTATTTCTCTTTTTTAAAGGAATATGAATGCTGTGTAAGAAATAATAACTTTTCCGCACGTAAATATATTACTACAACTTTTGTTGGGCACATAGTAAAATATCTGAATAAATAATAGACCCTTAAGAAATTTCTTTATTCTAAATACCCTATTCAAGTTTGAAAATCATCAGTCTTCCCATAATTCTAAAATTGGCTGTTTGAGTACACAGAAACCAGCATGCAGCCAGACAGTCCAACACAACATTTTAATGATCTACGTCAGTCACCCTCCATCTTTCTGTGAAGGACCTCTCCTGTAGGTAATTTTCCCTTCAGCTAAGATTTAAGCCTATTTCTTCTTGCTTTGTCCTCAGTGTGAACTGAAAATAACTGGTCACTATCCTCTTTATAACAACCTCTCAGAGTCAAGTATGCTTCTCTTTGGTCCTGATCTCTAAACTGAACCAAATAAATGCAGGTATTTCAACTTCTCCACATAGACACTATTCTTCAAATGTTTAATTTTTTTCACAGTGATTAGGACTCATTCAAAATTTCCATTGCAAAGGCTGCTGTCATCTACTGGGAAATAAGGCAAACTTCTTGGTTTTCCATATAAGACCCACTGTGAGAAGGTCTTCCTCTGTTTTTCTAACCTGCTTCCTGCTGCTTTCAGTATGATTACAACTCCCTAAACACATACCACAGTTTCATACTACTGTGCTCTTGCACAGTTGCTTTGTCTAAATGTCCTCCCATCTCTCTCTCTCTTTTTTTTTTTCTGTCAAGTAAATAACTTTACAGTTGAATACTACTCAAGTATCACCTCATTTCTGTAGACTTCGCTATCTTAGGAGTGACTTAGGACTTTTTAGATCATCTTCTCCTCTGTAAACATTTCAACATGGTAGTTTCTTGTACTCAATATGAGCTCTATCAAGGGGAGACACTCTGTTTATACACCCACACACACACACATACACACACATACACAGTACCTAGGAGAATTCTAGAACCTACTAGGCAGTCAATAAATGTGTATGAAAGAATTTTTCTCCACATAAAATCCCTCGTGTGTAGTATAAAGTAATACTTCTAAATTTTACTCTTGTTTTTATGCCCACACACACGTTGACTACAGAGGGAAGCTTCTCCAGGACACCGTATGTGCAAAGAGTTAGGTGGAAGTGAATTCTAGAATAAGTTATAATTTTTCCCACTGTGAGTTGGAGACTGTACTTAATACTAGAGATAAGAGGTAAATAATAAGGTATGGTACCTTTAAAGCTTCCAGTTCAGAATTTAGTGGAAATTATAAAATTATATAGAAAAGACATGGTATAAAAGTAATTTAGTGGCAAATTTCAAAGACTAGTAAAATTAAATATGAAAACTAGGGGGTTAGGGTTGTGGCTCAGTGGTAGAGCACTTGTTTAGCATGTGTGAGGCAC